GGTGCCCGAGCTCGTTAGTGAGCTATAGCCATTTTTCAACTGACAGAACTCAATATCAAGGCAAATCCGCCATGTTTTCAACGTGCGCGTGCACGAACGGGCGCGAATGACGCCATAAATTATGCGCAGTAAGGATGCGCAATGCAAATGTGAGGAATCACCTTAAAGGTAATTTTGTATGTGGCCAAAATAACTCAAAATAATGTGACTGAGCCCTTTTAACCTATAACTTACCATGCTATGAGTTTACAAAGCAGTTATCCTAACCCTTTTTTACTGCTGCTCGATAGTGTGGCACTAATGTTGCAGCAAGCATTACTCTGACAAGTGAGACTTACTCAACAAGCGTATTCTGCGTTTTATATTTAAAGACTGGTACTCTGACTATAGTGTTTTACTTACAAGAGCAGGAACTACAAATTTGGCAAACAAGTGTATGCAAAATATGATTTTCCCTGTTTTTAAATGTCTTCACTTTTGTAAATACCAGGGCTGTCAATAAGGGTGGTAACCCATAACACCCCTTACGACTGAGCATGCTTGATGAGCCCTTGATGGTGCGGGTGAAAGTGGCCTGTAGTTGGTACAATTCACCCGTAAAGTAACAAGTTTGTTGCTAGTGTGAAGATGAAGGCTACAGATGAATCAAAACTTAATGACAGCCCTGAATACCCTACTAAATACTTAAAAGATTTGTTTAGTCTGTGATCCAGCACTTATTCTTTAAGAGGAAGTGATAAAAAATTTTAAACCTAAATTCTTTTAGTTACCAGTACTAGGCGGCCAAATCCTGGAACGAACTTCCAAATCAATATCGCACAGTTACAGATTTTAACACTTTCGGCAAATTAATTTTGTCCTCTAATGTTGCATAAATTTATCTGCCTTGTTCTTATTTTTTCTTTCATCATTTCTTAAATTTCTCACTTTAGGTAGCTTGAGGAAATGAGAGCAATGCTACTCCGTAAATTCGAGGGAAAATAAAGGTAATGATGATGATGATGCGGTAAGAAATTAAATTGTTCTCCTTTTCAAATTTATCCTTTTTACTTCTCTCCTCAGATGTTGCTCAAAGCACTAGTGAATCTTTCATCAGCTCACCTATTCACTGGTGAAGTAATGCGAATTTCTCTTAGAAGCAGAAAGTTCAGTGAGCGGTCTCAATAAGCCACTGTAAGTTATTACAGTTGTGTCTGCGGTGAAATATTCTTTTCTTTTTTAAAAAAAGGCATACAAACTAAGCCATTGGGTCAATAAAGAGCAAAACTGAC